CGTCCCTGCACGGTGCTCCCAGATGCCTCCGAGACAGCGCCGAGACACCCCCGCACGCCTCCGATATCTCCCATTCTGATAGAGGGGGCCGCCAACAGAGGGCGAAGCCCTTACGGACAGATGCAGTGACCACTGACTTTCTCTCTCAAGACGCTGGAGGTCTGGAACAGGCTCCTCCTCCTCCTCCTCCTCCTCCTCCTCCTCCTTCCTCCCCCTTCTCCTCCTCCTCCTCCTCCTCCTCCTCCTCCTCTCCTCCTCCTCCTCCTCCTCCTCTCTCGCTCCCCTCCTCCTCCTCCTCCTCCTCCTCCTCTTCCTCCTCCTCCTCCTCCTCCTTCGCTCCCCCTCCTCCTCCTCCTCCTCCTCCTCCTCCTCCTCCTCCTCCTCCTCTTTCTCCTCAACGGTCGACCCCCGACCCCCGGCCGTGGCGACGAGAAGGGTCCATGAGGCCCCGAACAAGTTCGGGCGTTGTCAGAGCTTGGTTTAGTGGGACCTGGTTTAGTGTTGTAAGCCGGAGGACGCCCCCCCTGCCCCGTTCCACTAACCGGATCTGCCGTCGCCCGAAAAAAACAGCAGCTACGGCAGACCTGGAATAGTGATTCTGGCCAATTTAGTGGCTCCGGGGCCCTACTACTTACCAGGTCCCCTCACCTGTGGTCCTGGCTATACCCGACAAGTAGACAGCTAAAAGCTAAAACAACCCAACACACAAACACAACAACTGGTAAAAACAGATACAAAGCAAGCCAACAGACGCCCAGAAGGCTCGATCTTCGATCACACGGGGCCGCCCGGATGAGGCGCGCAGAACAAAGCAATTACAATTGGCTGGGGTCGAACCGGTTACACTTGCGCGTGCCTTGCCCCGAACGCTGCACGGCGACCGACGACCTCTGCTACACGGAATCGGGACGCCCAGCCTGGGCTGGCGACGAGCGTGTGAGGCACATTCACGTCGCGGAGGAGGAGGAGGAGGAGGAGGAGGAGGAGGCGGAGGAGGAGGAGGAGGAGGAGGTGTGTTCTGGCACCACGTGGGCCGTCCCAGCTTGAACAGCCGCGGCTTCCCGATGACGCTGCTTGACCGATGGTGGCCAACACCGGGCGTTCGAGCCTCGAGCGCCCCGCGCCCAAAAGGGGCGCCGCCGCGCCACCTGCGGCGCGGACACATGGAAATATGGACCTCCCGTCGTGGCGTCTGCTCACGGCGCGAGGGGCTCTGGAGAGGGAGCCATGTGAAGGGGCCCTGGGACCCACAGATAAACACACACACAAACAAACAAACAACAGGATTCCCAATATGTTTCCATATCTTCTGGGTTGTTGTCTTTCTTTCCCCCCCCACTTCTCATTTGTTCCCACATGTTCCTGGGAGTGGACGATGCATTGTGTCTGTGCCTGTGTCTGTGTCTGTGCCTGTGTCTGTGTCTGTGTCTGTGTCTGTGTCTGTGTCTCTGTGTGTTCCCCCTCCTGACCACGGCACGAGCGCGCGCCTTCGAAGGCCCGCGCTGACCTCTCGGACCTGCGCGCGGACCCCTCCGCCCTGGCCGCGCGGAGCGCCTCCTGCGCCGGCACCCGGGGAGAGGGGGCTCGCGGCCGATCCGCGAGGCCCGCGCGGGCCACGCCGAAGGCTCACCCGTCACGCCGTCGCTCGTGCGCAGCGGGAGAGCGAGCAGCGGGGGCCAGGACCACTGCGGAACGCGGAAGCGTCGATGTGGCTCGCGGTGGCCGAGCGTCTGGGCCGCTCGCCACCGACTCGTGGATCTTCCTCGCGGATCGGCGGCGGCCAGCATGGCCCGCTGACCAAGATCGGCATCGGCACGGCTCCACGACATCTTGGCCGTGGTCAACCTGTTTGTTCCCTCGATGCTCTGCCCCCCTCATCGGCGAATCGGCCCCCGAAGTCGGATCCGCATGCTCCTGAGCAGGGTGGGTCATCAGATCTCTATCGGCGATGAGTGGGTGATTAGGTCGGCGGCGAGCCCGGAGCGGAGTGAGACGGGGCTGGCGGCCCTTCTTAAAAGGCTCGAAGAGCCCACGGCCTTCTGAGAGATGTGTTCGACACCCGCCCCCGAAGACGCAGGAAACCTCTCCGACGGTCTGAGAAACCACGCCGCCTTCCAAGAAGGCCTTTCCCTTCTCACATCCCCCCCCGTCTCCCGGTGGGTGCCGGGCCGCACCGCCCCCGGTGGGTGCGGGCCCCCCGGGGCCTGCCCCCGCCCCCGGTGGGTGCCGGGCCGCACCTCGGACATTCGGCGGCCGTTCGGGACGATCTGGGCACCCCGGGAAGGCCCTCGGCGAGGGGCGGCTGTGGGAGAGCACCCCGAGGCCGCAAAGCCGCCGAGGCCCCACGAACACGCCCGGACATCTCGAACCTCGAAGCTCCGTCCTCCCTCCGGCGTTGCTCCGGACCTCTCCCTCCTGAGCCCCGCGGCGCGCCCCTGCCCCCCACTCGCGCCCCCCCCCCGCTGTCCTTGCGCTTGCGCCCGCTGGAGTCGCCCGCGGCCTTCGCGCGCGGCGCGGTGAGGGAGGGCGATGGGCTCTGCAAGCGGGCTGCTGCCAGGCCAGACGCCCCACAAGGAACGGACGCCCCTCCTGGGCCCCAGACGGGAGGAGGACAAGCGGCATACCCAGAAGCTCGTGGAGCTCCTCGCGGGCTTCTTAGATCGACACTGGACCCCTGTGGGCGGCGCCCCCCGCGCCGCCCCCAGCGCACCCCGCGCGCCACGGAGAGGGGTCCAGCGCCTGTCCACAGAATCGGGAAAGACCTGCGGGGCAGCCCGCCCCCTCGACTGCACGGGGATAGGGACGCAGGAAGAGGAGGAGGAGGAGGAGGAGGAGGAGGAGGTGGAGGAGGAGGAGGAGGACTCGAGAACTCGAGAACTAAGGGCAACGCGGTCGACGCCGCCGCCGCGCCCCCCCTCCCGCGCACGCTGCGCAGGCTCGTGAGGTCGCGAGCCAGCCCCAGAAACAGGGCGGGCCTCCACTTCCCTGCCACTACCAGGGCCAAATATATCTGCGGGGCCGAAGCCCCGAGCCGCGAACTCGATCACATGCAACTTGTTGAGCCCCCACAGCACCTGGACGTGGAATGCATGGAGGCAGTGGCCCTGGGAGGTTGCCCAACCGTGCCGCCCACGACAACAGATAGGCCTATGGATGCGCCCGCAGTTAATGTTCAATGTGATGCTCACCCTTTTGACGCCCGTGCGTCCATTCTCCCGCACATCTAACAACCGCAAAACGAGGCTTCCAATCCACAAACGGCACTCTCCCATCACAGGGTTGCTGAAGCCCACCAAGCCACGCACTCTTGACGCGTGAGTTGTAGTGCCCTGCGCAAAACACCGCGACGTAGGACGACGACGCTATGCAACGAGCCCTCCGACGCGGAGAAAAGCGCCCCGCAGCAGCGCACCCCATCTCCTTCCTCAAGAAGACCGCCACTGCAGGAAAAACAAGCCGTATGTGGGGCACGACTGGCCAAAAAGGCTCTCTCTTCCCACAAGGCTGCAACCACCACGTGCTTGACATACTCTGAACGCTCAGCATCGGCTCGAAAGTCGGTAGCGTGTTTTCCGGAACAATCTTCGAAACAAAATGCCGAACGTCGTGCAAAACAACCCACTGTATAATAGCGGTTGCAACGGCACGAAGAATAAGAAACCAAAACCTGATATAGTGGGGCATGCCTGGCCAAAAAGGCTCTCTCTTCCCACTTTGCCGCTGCAAGCCCACAATGGTGCTCACCTGCTCCTGGGGCCTGCAATCGATTTTGGTGACGTGGTGGTCAACCTCCTAGTCCGTAGCCTGGAGGTAGAAGAAGCCGTACAACTTTCAGCGGCGTGACGCCTGGCGCTCCCCCTCAAGTCCGAGGATGGGATAAAGATACTGCCCGCGTATCTTACCCCACCCGGCGCCGACTGCACGGCCACCTGGTTCGAGCCAGCTCTGGTGAGCCAAACTGGCCCGAGCCAAATGTTACTTGAGGGAGGAGGGGGAGGAGGAGGAGGAGGAGGAGGAGGAGGAGGAGGAGGAGGAGGAGGAGGAGGAGGAGGAGGAGGAGCAGGAGAGAGAGGGAGGGAGGGAAGAAAGGAGGGAGGGAGGAGTGAGCGAGTGCGCCGGGAGGGCGAACCCAATCCGATTGCCGCTGCTAAAAGAAACCGTGCCTCACTGCACGGGAATTCGTGCTCTCTGCGAGTGATGCGGGATAGCCCCAGCTCAGTAGTGCCTCTTGCGCTGCTGGGCCAAGCCTGCGGCGCCCTCCTGCGACACTCCACGCTGCTGCGAGGTGGGGCCGATACAGCGAGGAGGACCTCTGTCCTCTCGCTGCAGAGGGAGAGGCCTACCTAGCTACCTAGGCGCGGCCCCTCCCTAACGCTGCTGCCTACTCCGCTCCGCTACTGTTAACATCTGCCGCGCATACATACGACCTGCATATGCCATCCTCCTAGGGTTTGCCATCTTAGCTGGACTGCTCGCTACCGTCTCACCTTGACGGGTCATCACACTCTCCCTGCCTGCAGCCCCTCAGCTGGCGCTCCGTAGCTCTCGTCAGCTCGTCCTTGGGCGTTGGTCCTCCTCGTCCCTCCTCCGCCCCCGTCGACAAAAACGTGGCGTACATGGCCCGACGAAGAGCCAGGGAAGGAGGAACGCTGTCGAGCAGGAGGAGGGGGAGGCGGAGGAGGAGGCGGAGGAGCAGGAAAGGCGGAGGGGTGCGTGGTCTTGAACTGCTTACGCGTTTCGACTTGCAAGACGGCAGCCGATCATCCTCCGCCGCGCCGCGCTTGCAACAAAAGGTTGGCTGCATGGGGAAGGGGGACGCAGGACCGCGTGGTCTTGAACTGATTACGCGTCACGACTTGCAGGACAGTAGCCGATCATCCTCCGCCACGTCGTGTTTGCAGCGGGTGGTGTGTGTGACTGTGTGTGGATGTGTGGATGTGTGATTGCGTGAATGTGTGAATGTGTGAATGCGTGCGTGTGTGTGTGTGTGTGTGTGTGCGAATGTGTGTGTACGAATGTGAATGTGTGCGTTTGCGTGCGTGCGTGCGTGCGTGCGTGCGTGCGTGTGTGTGTGTGTGTGTGTGCTTGTGTGTGTGAGTGTGAGTGTGGGTGTGGGTGTGCGTGCGCGCGTGCGCGCGTGCGCGCGTGCGCGCGTGTGCGCGTGTGCGCGTGCGCGTGTGCGCGCGCGTGTGTGTGTGTGTGGTGTGTGTGTGTGTGTGTGTGTGTGGGTGTGGGTGTGGGTGTGGGTGTGGGTGTGGGTGTGGGTGTGGGTGTGGGTGTGGGTGTGGGGGTGGGTGTGGTGTGTGTGTGTGGTGTGTGTGTGCGTGTGTGCGTGTGCGTGTGCGTGTGCGTGTGCGTGTGCGTGTGCGTGTGCGTGTGCGTGTGCGTGTGCGTGTGCGTGTGCGTGTGCGTGTGCGTGTGCGTGTGCGTGTGCGTGTGCGTGTGCGGGTGCGGGTGCGGGTGCGGGTGCGGGTGCGGGTGCGTGTGCGTGTGCGTGTGCGTGTGCGTGTGCGTGTGCGTGTGGGTGTGGGTGTGGGTGTGGGTGTGGGTGTGGGTGTGGGTGTGGGTGTGGGTGTGGGTGTGGGTGTGGGTGTGTGGGTGTGTGTGTTTGTGTGTGTGTGTTTGTGTGTGTGTGTGTTTGTGTGTGTGTCGGGCCCTTTTCTGTTGTTTGTTCGTGTGTTTTGTTGGCGAAACTGCACTCGGACCCCTACCGCCCCCGTTCCCCGCACGCGTTCGATGCAACAATCAAACGCTCTGGGGCACCTGCGGACGGGAATTGCTTGAAAGTGTCCCGGCGGCAGCCCGGGTGACACGCTATGCCCTGCAAGCGGATAGCATGTCGCTGCGCTCCGCTGGGCGGAAAGCGGAAAAAAGGCCCTGGACGTTGACGCGCGGGAACCTGGACGCGGATAACGTGTCGCGCCGAAGCGTGGTGGGCTGGAACCGGCGGATCGACCACGACCAGCCAAAAATCCTGACCGTATTTGCCCCCCGCTGACCCGGCACCCAAAACTCCGACGTCGTGTTGTTTTTTTTTGGGAAAAAAAGACGCGCCTGCTCACAGCGGTCTGGACCCATTCTCTAGGACCGTTTTGTCGTCGCGGATCCATGTTGGACGGTCCCGAGGACTGTTAAGGGGTCCCAGACGCCGAAAATAGCGAGAAACGTTCCATCATGATTGGCTCGAGATGGTCTGGGTTAGGGCGACGAGATCTGTTCACAGCTCTCTGGTCCTGATCCCAGGAGCTGGTATACGCCCTCCCGGCCCAGCCAGGAGGGCGTGGCGTACACATCGCGGCAAGGTCCACGGTGGGTGTGGCCAGGGAGCATTGGGCATACATCTCGTCGCCCGATGGGTTGCACGACACGGGGAGGCACCAGAGGGGCGCGGCAGCGAATCGGCTGCATGCCGCCTGGGTTTCGCGGCCTGTCCCTGCGACGGGGAGCGGCCACGCATCGAGGAAGGTGCCTGGCCGCTGGGCCGAACCTCGCTGCGCGCAGCGAACTTCGCAAACCCGCCATTCCCAATCCTCGGAAAAAAGCTCAACGACTTCTGCCGTCCTTCGACTCGCGCTGGAGCGGCAAAAAAAATTGCACCAGGTCGGCCTGGAGAACTGTGGATGTACCTGGGTTTGCATCGACCTGCCTCGATGTGCCCTGGTCGGCCTTGATATATATATATATATATATATATATATGGCCGGAAGCTCGGCCCACGCAGGTCGATGGTCGAAAAGTCGCCGAGCACTTAGGGACTCTCCTTGCGAGGAAGTGGCCCTTCCTCCAGGAATTGGCGACCCCCCTGGCGATGACCCCCCTGGCATTGCCTGAGGAGGCGGGAGGGAGGTCGGCGTCGGCGCCGCCGGCGGAGTCTCCGAGCAGCTCTGGAGGCGCGAGAGGCGCCGATGGTCACGGGCCGAAACATCCGCCGATTGGACTTTCTCGATGCGCGGCGCCAGAGGTCCCGACCCCTTCCCTGGGGCGTCTCGTCCCGGATCAATGTCTCATGGCCCCCAGGCGCAGGCGCGATGCAAGGGCCCCCGGAGGCCGAAATCCAGGAGAGACTGCCGGCTGGAACAGATCCTATATCTCGCCATCGCCCTCGGACACCCAGTCCCCGTGCATTATTGTTCGATCTCGTGCGCGCGTTGTTTTTTCCCCACAATGAGCCAGAGTGCCCTTCGCGCGTGGCCGAGCGCAGCAGGTCCCTCCTCCGCGCCGAGCCGCGCCGCCTGGCGCCGCATCTGGGCGCGCACCACCTGCACGACGGCGGCTGCTTCGTGAGGGTGGAGAGTCCGGGCTGCCTCGATGCTCCTCGCCGAGGAAAAACAAAAACATGCGCACGTCCGAGCGATGCCGAGATCCTCGGGATCTCCGGGGGCGCGGTTCGGGGGGTGCCGCCCGCGCGAGCGGGGACGGCCCGTGACGCATGGGGCCGCGGAGGGCCCCCCCCCCACGGCCGTCGACGGGCCGTCGATCTCTGGGCGCCGCCCCCCCCCG